AGGGGACCGGGCGCAGCAGGGGTTACCTACCACTGTGCTCATCACTGTGCCCCCTGCTGACACCCGTACTGCCCTATGCTACCTAAGTCCTACGCCAAGGACAAAGTGGCGTGGAGGGTCAAGTCCGGGTCCCAGTAGTCTCAGAATCAGCGTGAAAGACCAACCGTTCGTCCTCCGCCTCGTCCGAGACCCCCCGGTAGGGCCTCGGACGTGCTATTCCTTCTCCGCCTCGGCCGAGGCCGGGCACGTCCCGCATCCTCGTCGCCTCTGCCTCGTCCGAGACCCCCCGGCAGGGCCTCGGACGTGCTATTCCTTCTGCTTCGCCTCGGTAGGCCGGGCTCAAATCCCGCATCCTCGTCGCCTCTGCCTCAACCGTCCCTCTCCGCGAGCCGTCACATCCGTTTAAATGCACTGGTCACACCTACTACACCAGCCATGGTGACAGTGGTGCAATGACGACAGAGGCGATGGGACAGCCGGTCAAATCTCCTTTTACCATCCCCTCTTGGCGAGTGCGGGGTTTACCGTGCCTGTGGACACACGCCTCCGCACTTCTCCACTGAACCGGCACGACACGACCGCCGAGACCCCGCATCATACACAGGTCACCTCCGAGGCCTCGGCACGATCAGCTACAGCACCCGCCAGGCCTCGGCACTCCACCAAGTCAAGAACACAACGCGAAAATGAAAAAAGTCCCTGGAGGAGTAACTCCACTCCTCTAGGGCCTCGGGGGCTACACCCGGCGGGTGCGCTCGCGCGCACCCACCGGAACCACCAAGTACAAAACACAATCCCGACAGGAGCTGCTACGAGCCAAGTCTCGTCAAAACCTCGGGAGAGTGCCCGCACTCCTCCCGAGGCTCAGGGGCTACTGTCGGATACCACAAGAAGGGGTACCCTAAGCAAGAACCAAAAATATTGCTTAAGCCTTGCAAAAATCAAAGCCAAAGGACAACCATGAAGTCTCGGTAGATTCTCTGACTCGCCCAAGGATTGCGCTGAGGCCTCAAACGAAAGGCCAAAGCCCTCCGCCCCGCCGAGGCCCTCTCGTCGAGGCCCCCTCGCCGAGGCCCCGCCCCGCAAAGCCTCGGATGGGATACCAATTCTCCGATTCGCCCGAGGCTGGGCTTGGCAACAACCTTGTCTCCTCCGTCCCGACCGACTCCCCTGACAAAATGCCACGTCCAGTCAATACGCCCCACTACTCCCGCAACATCAGCCGTACGTTGGCACAGTATAGGCAGAATGACCGACGGGACAGGGGACCGGGCGCAGCAGGGGTTACCTACCACTATGCTCATCACTGTGCCCCCTACTGACACCCGTACTGCCCTGTGCTACCTAAGTCCTATGCCAAGGACAAAGTGGCGTGGAGGGTCAAGTCCGGGTCCCAGTAGTCTCGGAATCAGCGTGAAAGACCAACCGTTCGTCCTCCGCCTCGTCCGAGACCCCCCGACAGGGCCTCGGACGTGCTATTCCTTCTCCGCCTCGACCGAGGCTGGGCTCGTCCCGCATCCTCGTCGCCTCCGCCTCGTCCGAGACCCCCCGGCAGGGCCTCAGACATGCTATTCCTTCTCTGCCTCGGCCGAGGCCGGGCTCGTCCCGCATCCTCATCGCCTCCGCCTCAACCATCCCTCTGGCGAGCCGTCACATCCGTTTAAATGCACCTGGTCACACCTACTACGCCAGCCACGACTGACAGGGTACAGCGACATGGGTGATGGGACAGCGGTCAAATCTCATTTTTACCATCCCCTACTGACGGTGCAGGGGTTACCGTGCCCTGTGGACACACGCTCCGCACTTCTCCACCTGAACCGGGTACGACGCTGACCGCCGAGACCCCCGCATCATACACAGGTCACCTCCGAGGCCTCGGCACGATCAGCTACAGCACCCGCCAGGCCTCGGCACTCCACCAAGTCAAGAACACACAAGGCACGGCATGTCTCCTACAGTGGAAGCCATACTGACTAGACGTTAACAAGGACTCCCACGACCTCAACAACCTTGGGCCTGGCCAGCACGGCGCGACAGTCAAGTACCAATCGCCATCCCCAACGCCATGCTGCTACAGGACTGAACTACAGTAGGCTCCATGTATAGCTCACTCATGTACTCCTGGCTCCCTCCTTGCGGTTATAAAAGGAAGCAGCCAGGGATAGCTCGGGAGGCGGAAAAGGAGAAAAAGGAAGAACACCTGGTAGCTCACACGCATACACATCCCAGCCGCCTGAGAGCAACGTCTCAAGCAGCCCACGTGACACCTCGCCGAGACCTGGGATTAGCTCCCTCTCTCCCTGTGCTTGTAACCCCCTACTACTAGCACTTCGGTGCAAGGAATACAAGATCGATCTCTCAGACTAGACGTAGGGCATCGATTGCCTGAACCAGTATAAACCTTGTGTCTCTTTGCATCACCATCCGGGATTAGGGGCACGCAGTTCAAATTCACTAGTTGGTAGAGGACCCCCGGTCCGAAACACCGACACAATCCAAACAACAAAGGACACTATCATAAACAAAAAAACCAGGACAACAGCTAAGTAGACCAATCCAAAAAAATAGAAAGAAACATCTAACACACAAAAGAAAAAGATATCGATACACATACATTAGAGCTTATATAAGGAGAAAGACTACAAAAGGACAATTAAAAACACACTACTACAAAACCAAAACAGAAAAAGATGATTTCTAACTTATCAACAACAAACACTATAGTATGATGATAAACACATATATTACAGAGTAAACCATATAATCCGAAAAATTATTCAATAACAATAATACTGGAAGGAGCAAGCTCAGTTTGGCATGATGGGCGAGCCTAACAAAGCTTAACAAAAAAATTGTGAATCAACTGAAATTTAAAAGCAAGCAAAAGCATGATAACACAAAACACAACTAAGCCTAATCCACTCACAAAACACTATAGCATCCAACTATTACAATAATACCATCCAAATCATCACGTTAAGCATTACATACTATATAAATGACAGGAAACCATTTACAAAAAAAAAACACAAAGAACAATTCATTTCTCTAAGTAAACAGTATCCTCAACAAAATTGCCATACCTAAGAACTATAATCTAAGCAATGAAAAATTCAACTACGGCTAACATCTACAGATACAAAAGATCAGATAATTTCAACCAAAATATATTGACGACTCTATCAAATTCATCACGTTTACCATCAAATTATATAACATCTACAGAACAGGTAAATATCACTAAATAGAAATACAAGATCTAAAACAAACCCTAAAAAACTCAACATGAACAAAGACCAGGAAAAAGGATCTACAACTTGCAAAAGAACACTTGATACAAAAACTCACCACAAAAACTACTCAGCGCAGGAGAAGAAAATGAATCCAACTCAGGCCCGAACTCCGCCTTCGCCTCCACCTCCGGCTCAGCCACGAACAGCTCCGAATCGAACACGGCGCGGACCTGCGGCTAACCCTCGACCTCGGCCTACGCCTCCACATCCGCAACAAACAAAAAAACACGAAATAATAACAAAAATAGCAGATACACTGAAAGAATCTGCAGGAAACACAGAACAAACAATAATAAAAAAACCACGCGAGCAGATACACTGCACACACAGCGGAGCCATACTCTATCACTCTGCCAGCCTTGTTACTAAAAGAATATCTTGTCAATACAAACTTAATTGAAATAGTATAATAAGCAAACAAATGAAGCCAAGAGCTGTCACCGAACAATCGAGCAACCTAGTCCCTACTGCCCAAGTTTTGCTTTGGAATAACTAATATTGAACAAAGAGCCACTGAATAATTGCTAAAATCACAATTATATCATGCTGCTGCCTGCTATTTGAACCCGTCTGAAAGCATCTAGGCCCCTTGTTGGGTTTCGGTGATTAATGACAATATAAGATTACTATGACTAACGTGTGTTTTGCAGAGGCAATTAAGTTAGGTCATGGTAATGGAGATCGATTGGACAATCATGGATGTCATGCCCCTACGATAGAAATCGTTTCGGTTTTCAAAGGATGGACGACAAGGTTAAGGATGACTAGTTCTAAGTGTCGATTGGAGTTGGAGAGACACTTAGAGTAGTTTAGTACTTTGTTTTTCCTTTGGCCGTACTATTAAGGAGGGTATGGACGGATAGCTTGACCTAGGTGAGTCTAGTGAGTTAGGTGTGGTGCACACTTGCTAAGTCTAGCACTAGGTAGCTCCAACAAAGCCCTTAGATCCTATGGACCAAACTTCATTCACATATGATCGAGAGTTGGAAGTGAATGGAGGGTCAAATACTGACCGGATGCTGGGTCTGGTGCAACCGGACGCTGGCCGCAGGGTCCGGTCAGTTCATTTGACCAAGGAGATTGCGTCTGGCGCGACCGGACGCTGAGTGGTCGAGTGACCGGACGCTGAAGACCAGCGTCCGGTCGACTCCAGTAAGGTTCTAGAGAAGGAATTCTTCGACCGGACGCGTCCGGTCAGTATTGACCGGACCCTGGGGGTTCAGCGTCTGGTCGAGTACAGTAAGGTTCCAGTGAGGGATATTTGTGACCGAACGTATCCGGTCAGTGGTGATCGGACCCTGCCAGCGTCCGGTCAACACTTAAACACTGGTGTGCGGTTGAACTGACCGGAGCGTCCGGTCAACATGACTGGAGCGTCCGGTCACCCCGCAGAGGCACATAACGGTTCATTTTTCAGCCCATGTTATAAATAGAAGTTCCACTCGTGTGTGGAGTTACTTTTGCTCTTTCCAACAACTGAAACACACCTTAGAGAGTGCCAAGAAGAGCAAGGTCCTAGTGAGGTGATTGAGATTTGAGAATCCCAAAGAGAGCCCTCATTAGAGAGATCAAGAGTAGCAAAGTGTGCATCCATCTTTGCAGTAGCCATCTTTGCAGCATCCATCAAGAGGCTTGAATGAATTGTGTGGCATGCTTAAAACTGCAGAGGCTGATATCAAGAAAGGTGCTGGCAGTAGCCATGTGATGGCGGAACAAAATAAGGCCCGATTTAAAAAGAGGGGCAATTCTTGGAAGAAGAAGAAGAAGGGCAAGGCTAAAGGTGAGAACTCTAAGCCAAACCCACCTGCGCCTAAGGCTGGGCCAACGGCTAACACTGAATGCTATCATTGTAAGGGGAAAGGTCATTGGAAGAGGAACTACAAGTTGTACTTAGAATCCATGAAGGATAGCGGCGGTAAAGGTACTCCCGCAATTTGTACACTTGTTGTTTATGTTACAGACATTTTCCTCGCTAACTCTTATATAAATTCTTGGGTATTTGATACCGGATCGGTTGCTCATATTTGCAATACGATGCAGGGAATGATAAGAAGTAGAAGCGTGGAAAAGGGAGAAGTTGATTTCCGCGTGGGCAATAATGCAAGAGTTGCTGCGTTGAACGTCGGGACGATGCAACTCCACCTCCGGTCAGGATTTATTTTGGAATTGAATAATTGTTATTTTGTTCCTAGTTTAAGTCGAAACATTGTGTCACCTTCATGTTTGATGAAGGATGGTTATTCATTTGCGAGTAAAGACAATGGTTGTGTTATCTCTAAGAATGACATGTTTGTGGCTTTTGCATCCATTGTGAATGGGTTATTTATTTTAAATCTTGATGATGCACCTGTCTGTAATATAAGTGCTAAAAGCCCTTAGCTTAATGAGTTAAGTCCTACCTATATGTGGCATTGTCGTTTAGGTCATATAAGTGAGAATCGCATGAAGAGGCTCCATGCTGATGGGCTTTTAACTTCGTTTGATTTTGAATCATACGAGACATGTGAGGCTTGTTTGCTAGGGAAGATGACCAAGGCGCCTTTCACAGGTTTTCCTGAGAGGGCGATAGACTTGTTGGAACTCGTACATACTGATGTATGTGGACCAATGAGCACGATAGCTAGAGGCGGATTCCAATACTTCATAACCTTCACTGATGATTTTAGTAGATATGGCTATGTCTACTTAATGAAACATAAATCTGAGACATTTGAAAAGTTCAAAGAATTTCAGAATGAAGTAGAGAATCAATGTGGCAAGAAAATTAAGGCCTTGTGATCTGATCGTGGAGGAGAATATTTGAGCCACGAGTTTAGCAATCATCTAAAGAGTTGCGGAATTGTTCCACAGCTTACGCCACCTAGAACGCCTCAGAGAAACGGCGTGTCCGAGCGACGTAATCGGACTTTGTTGGACATGGTTCGGTCAATAATGAGCCAGTCATACCTACCTTTATCGTTTTGGGGATACGTTCTAGAAACAGCCGCTTCCACATTAAATAGGGTACCATCTAAGTCCATAGTTAAGACACCATATGAGATGTGGACTGGTAAGAGTCCTAGTTTGTCTTTTCTAAAAATTTGGACTTGTGAAGTTTTTGTCAAACGACTTCAGTCAGATAAACTAACACCCAAATCGGACAAATGCTTTTTTGTGGGATATCCAAAGGAAACTTTAGGATATTACTTTTACAACCGATCAGAGGGCAAAGTGTTTGTTGCTCGGAACGGTATTTTCTTAGAGAAAGAGTTTCTCAAAAGAGAGAAAAGTGGACAGAAGGTGTATCTTGAAGAAGTTCAAGATGAGCAAACAGGGAAGGACTCTACGAGTGACGCTAACGTAGCAGAACAAGTTGAGATACCTGTGGCAGTAGAGGCACCGCCACAACCACGAAGGTCAGCAAGAATCCGTGAGGCACGCGGGGAATTGTTATTGTTGGACGATGATGAACCTGCGACATATGAGGAAGCAATGATGGACCTAGATTCTGAGAAATGGCAAATTGCCATGAGATCCGAGATAGATTCCATGGGAGGCGATCAAGTTTGGAACTTGGTTGACCCGCCTGATGGGGTTAGACCCATAGAGTGCAAATGGATCTATAAAAAGAAAAAGGATATGGATGGAAATGTTCACGTCTATAAAGCTTGACTTGTTGCAAAGGGTTTTTGGCAAGTTCAAGGAATTGACTACGACGAGATTTTCTCGCCAGTAGCGATGCTTAAATCTATCCGGATCATTCTAGCAATAGCTGCTTATTTCGATTATGAGATATGGCAGATGGATGTTAAAACAGCCTTTCTAAATGGAAATTTAGAAGAGGACGTGTATATGATACAGCCTGAAGGTTTTGTTGATTCAAATAATGCTGGAAAAATATGCAAGCTTAAGAAATCTATTTATGGGTTAAAGCAAGCATCTCGGAGTTAGAACATTCGTTTTGATGAAGTAGTCAAAGGGTTTGGTTTTCATCAGAATGAAGAAGAACCTTGTGTTTACAAGAAAGAAAGTGGGAGTGCTGTTGTATTTCTAATCTTGTATGTAGATGACATACTATTGATTGGGAATGATATTCCAATGTTGCAATCAGTAAAGACTTCACTGAATAATAGTTTTTCTATGAAGGATTTAGGAGAAGCAGCATACATTTTGGGCATTAAGATCTATAGAGATAGATCCAAGAGGCTTATAGGATTAAGCCAAGATACGTACATTGACAAGGTGTTGAAATGGTTCAACATGGAACGGTCTAAGAAAGGGTTCTTGACTATGTCACATGGCATGCGCTTTAGCACTAAACAGTGTCCTTCAACAGCTGATGAGCGCAATCGTATGAGTAAGGTTCCATACGCCTCGGCAATTGGTTCCATCATGTACGCCATGATATGTACACGTCCAGATGTCTCATATGCTCTAAGTGTTGCGAGCAGGTACCAAGCTAATCCAGGCGAGAGTCACTGGACACTTGCTAAAAACATTCTTAAGTACTTGAGAAGGACTAAAGATGTGTTCCTAGTCTATGGAGGTGAGGAAGAGCTCGTTGTAAATGGTTACACCGATGCTAGCTTCCAAACTTACATGGATGATTCACAGTCTCAATCAGGATATGTGTTCACAATAAATGGTGGTGCGGTTAGCTGGAAAAGTTCCAAGCAGGAGACGGTGTCCGATTCTACAGCAGAAGCTGAGTACATCGTAGCTTCTGAATCTGCGAAGGAAGGTGTTTGGATGAGGAGGTTTCTCATTGAACTTGGTGTGTTTCCAAATGCATATAGCCCATTGAATCTGCATTGTGATAGCAATGGGGCTATAGCACAGGCCAAGGAGCCAAGGAATCACCAAAAGAACAAACATGTACTTCGGAAATTTCACCTCATTAGAGAGTTCATTAGTAGAGGTGACATCAAGATGTGCAAGATACACACGGATTTGAATGTTGCAGATCCTTTGACAAAGGCTCTTCCACAGCCCAAGCATGAGACGCACATGAGAGCTATGGGTATTAAATATCTTCGAGATTAACTCTAGTGCAAGTGGGAGATTGTTGGGAGTATGCCATAGAGATAATCATAGAGATGATTGTATTGCCTTGTATCCATGATATATTATGAGTTCATTTGAATATCCATTAAAGACAACTTGTATCGATTGGCAATTATGTGAATTATTTGTGAAACTCTTTTACTTGTATGGTTATTCTAAAGTTGTCCCTGATCAGAGTTCTTGTGAGGACACACATGAATATTAGATCAGCACATTAGTAGTTGATGACTATGTTTCACAAGTCATAGACATGGAGATGTCAAACTAATAATGTGGGCACATGTATGACATGGGGCTGGACAGACCCAACGTGAGATGTTCTTATTGTCTCTTTACACATCATGTACGTTATGTCCTTAGACCTGAGATTGTCGTATGTACTCAAGATGTGAAGTGACCTACTTAGGGACTATCAAACGCTACTCCGTAACTGGGTAGTTATAAAGGTGGTTTTCAAGTTTGTCGGGAAACATGCTGTGAGACATAGTCAATCAAGATGAAATTTGCCCCTCTTCATGAGAGAGAGATATCACTGAACACTCGAATGATTTGGATCAAGAAAATGCATGGCCGTGCTTGGGTTAATAGTTAACCCACGAGTTGGACCAAATATCGTGTGGCAAAGGGAATAACATGTATGTGGTTTTGTGGTGGTTCGTCTGATATGATCTTTACGTATGCATAGGAGTTGACACGCCTTGCTAGAGGCCGCTCCCAACTATTGGCCGAATAGGAGTATTCGGGCCATGTCTATGTGTGCGTGAACCCATAGGGTCGCACGCTTAAGGGGCTGGAAGCCTAATTCGGATTGGAGCCGGATTAGACAAGGTTTAGGGTTGCTAATGGGCCTCCAACTCGGGAGCTCATTAGGATGCCTATATAAGCAAGAGGAGGGCGGCAGGGCTAGGTCAATCCACGCCATTTGGCAGCCGCCACCCTTCCCACGCCTGCGCCTTCGTTCCTCGTGGACCTAGCAGTCCAGAGGCGCGATGCTTCCTCCCTGTATGTGTGGATACCTCAGAGGCGCTGCATCTGGAGCACAAGGACGAACCGCACGAGAGGGATGGCCGGAAGGACGACCACGCAACTGCACGGCAGTGCTGTGATGTGCACGACTACACCGAGTCGCTTCCGCTGCACCTGCGCATCTAGTGGTAATCCCATGATCCATAACTACCGGTAGTTCCTGGTTTATGGGGTCGAAATTTTTGTTTTTTGGCTAGTGTAGCAACCTCATAACCCTTCAGTCACCTAGACGGCTTGGTGGTGATTGGAGAGCTTGGTGATCATCCGAAGAGCTTGTGGATGACCCAACTCAAGTTGTGAGCGGTTGTGGGTGATTCACCGCGACGGAGTGTCGAAGAACCAACCCGTAGAGAGCACTTGATCCTTGCGCGGATCAAGGGGGAGCTACACCCTTGCGCGGGTGCTCCAACGAGGACTAGTGAGGAGTGGTGACTCTCTGATACCTCGGCAAAACATCGCCGCGTTCCTCCTTCTCTATTTACTTTGAGCATTTACTTTGAGTATTTACTTTGAGTAATTACTTTGAGCATTTACATTGAGCAATTCAATTATTGTCTTTACAATTCATAGAATTGCCATGCTAGAATAGGATTGGAATTTATGTTGTAAGTCTTTTGTGCGGTAGAACAACTAGAAATACTTTTTAGGCACAAGGGGTTAATTGGGCTAACCGTAGGATTTAATTATTGCAAAGAAATTTAGAATTAGCCCAATTCACCTCCTCTTGGGCATCTTGATCCTTTCACCGTCATCGTTATGTAATTTCATTCTCAAATGAGAAAAACAAGTAAACAACCGTTTCACTATTGTGGTAATTCTGCACTTGATTTAAAAAATCTGCTATTACCGAAAGCTATCAAGGAGTTCGCAACCATAAATGGTCTAGGACAAATAGAACACACAACACGAGGGCAGTATGTGTAAACCCTGCCTTCTGTAATGTTCTTCATTCGTTGCAGCACATGCTCCAACGCTGGCTTCCAAGTAGTCTCACCAAGATCCAAAGGCAGAACCAAATGCAACAGCCGCCTGTTGCCACCCCTTCAGCTACACACGCGCCTATCAGATCGGATACGAATACAAATTGCTTGAGTTTGGAAGCTCGGTTCCGCACAGCAGTGAAAGGAAGACAAGGGGTGGGTCGTGAGCGTACCTGGTGGATTCTTGTCGCCGGTGCAGATCCCGAAGATAGAGACCTCGGCACCTGGGGTAGGGCGACGGCGGCGACCGCCCAGTCGTTGCCACAGCCCGCAGGAGAGAAGGGGCGGCCATCAGTGGAGGATCCAACGGAGAGGAATACGGCAGCGCTAGGAGAGAGAAGGGTTCGGCGGCGCCGGGTTAGATGCCACACCACCACCAGCGCGGCATAAGGGGCAGCCGCCGTCCCAGGAGCACCCACAACCTGCACGCATCAAGGCCGCCGTCGCTCATTTAGAAGCAAACAGGTCAACATCTAATTCATTTAGAAGCGCTAATACTCACCAACTATGGCAGATGAACGACGACAGATCAACGACGGCGAGCACCTCCGCCACAGGCTCCGGAGGGGAATCGACTCAGCCTCCGCAATAACATCGACAAAGAACAAAAAACCGATAAATGCAGACAAAATTAGGTCGGGAACGAAGAGATCTTCAACATCGAATCAAAACCTGTAAATAAAACTCACAAACGATGGTGAATCGCCGGCGGAGAGCCCCTCCGCCTTAGCTCTGCCACCAGAACCAGGGGAGATGAAATGAAATGGAGAAAGGAAATGAACAATTCAAAGTGATAAAGGCACGCGTTTCCCAAAAAAAGAGCTGACTTGTGGGCCACGCGAGTCAGAGAGCAAAACGCAAAGGGAAAATGAAAAGGCGACGGGGCAGATGAAGAAGGGCGCAGATAGCTCCATGGCCAGATCCGATCTAATCATGGTCCACAGCTCGCAACAGTTTTTTCAAAAAAACCACGGGTCAATTGCTCTCTTGGATTCAATAAATTCGCGGTCTTAGTAAGAGCTCGACTTACTTCATAGATATAATATTGATAATTGGGATCAAGCATTGCGCATAAAACCAACACAAGACATCTAAACAATGAATTCGCCCCAGACATCTACAGAAGGGCTCCAACGCATCACCCAGTCATGCACTCATGCATAATCCACTAGAAGTGAATTCCACCAAATAAATCAAATAAGGTAGCATCACAATATATATATATATATGTGTGTGTGTGTGTGTCTACTGGTTGTTATTGACCTTTTTGTTCCCATCTACTGGTTGGCATATATGTCACTACTACGACTACGACGTAGATGGCCGCACGTACCTTGAGGAAGACAGCATCTGCTGACAGAACGCTCTCGAACATGTCACCGGCGACGTACTTCACGGTGGTGTTAGCGGGAGCACTGGCGACGACATTCGGGAGATCCAGCACGCTGCATTCCATGTGCGGGAACGGCCTCGCGATGATCTGTGTGGTGCCACTGAGTCCGCCGGCGACGTACTTCTTTGGCTGACTCGTTCATTTCGACAGAATGAACTCGTGGGGCAACCTCTACGGAAAAGCATATCAAGCCGCTTGAAGAATCATATTGCCTCGCCTGAGAGGGCGTGCTTGAGACCGGCGATCACATCTTTGCTTCGTGCCCCAAAACGCGCAGAATTTGGCGCTGCCTCCACACAACGGTCTCTAAAGGCCTTCAGCGGCAACCGTGGTGCATCGGGCTGGATTTGGATCTCCATGCCAAGGTCAGGCTCGACGTGATGCTCATCTCCCTCTGGCACATTTGGAAGGCTCGGAATGCAATGATCTTCAACGATGAAGATGTCTCACCCAATGTTGTCCTGCACGGGATCATCAATGATCTAGACCGTTGGGCATGTCGCTACAAGAGGGATAGAGGATTGATCGGCGCTTGGAAAGCCTATCGTCGGGTTCATAAACCCGGAGTCCCTCGGGGACCGGCTTCTACGTCAGGGCTCGGCCCAAGAAAACAACATGTAGTTCGTGGGTCGGCCCAAGAGCCTAAAACACAACGGGCCGGAGGGACAATCCGGTCACCGACCGGAAGGTCTACCCAAAAACAAGCGCTCGCTCATCAACTTCTCCGGCCCACCTCTCCGACCGGAGCATTCGCTTTGGGCACCAGCCGCCACCGGGCGGTCTCTCCGATCGGAAAGGCCTGGCCCAAAACGTCACTTCCTACTCCGACCCCGCGTCTCCGGCCGGGGGCCCCGTAGGAAGCCTGCTTACCACTCTTCTCCGACTGGCGCGGCCAGGGCCGACCGGGGACGCCCGCTCAAAAGGGACCAGGGGCAAACGGAGAAGGCAGTGCACAAAGTCAAAACACGATACCGGGACCATACCCTGTACGCCTGCGGGAACAGTGCTCCTCAACCGCCCTGACACAAACAGTATTGTAGGCGTCGACATTTGTGTCTATAGTATTGTAGGCGCCATTGGGCTCCCATACGGCAAAAAGCCCCCCACATACCTCTGGGCATTGATAGTGGGTGCCAGGGTTCACCATACCTGGTACACAGGGTAGGGCTCCGCACATACCAATAGTATTTTGTAGGTATCGACATCCACCCTTCCTGAAGAAGCCAACGCAACCATCCATATGCACCTGACATTCTACAGTGACATCAACAAAATCGTGGGCGCCTACTGTCATCGCTACCCTCATCGGCGTGGGCAACAAGGCTTAGAAACATCCGTACTCTCCCCCTCTCGCCTCTAAAGCCATCCCCTTTATCTATAAAAGAAGATGCGCTCCTTCCAACGAAGGAGGTCCACTTCTTCAAGTTTAGACTCACTAGATCGATAGCTCACAAACCCCTCAAGCACACGCTTGAACACCTAGCTCATAGCAGAGTTCCGGTCTCCTTCGGCCCTTGCGGTCGGACCCGATCGGGCCTCTCGTACACCCCTCCTTTCTCTTTCTCGTTTGTAACCCCACT